AATTTTCCGGCATAATGGCGAGCCTGTTGGCGCTCAACTGCGGCGGTTTGCATGTTTAAAGTCCTATAACTCGACAAAAAACAAGGGTAGAAAATTCTTTTACACAGTGGTTACCAGTAGCCATAGTAACAACGTGGTGGAGTTTGAACCATATGCTGACACGAGTTGTCTTTGCTGGTACAACTTTAGACCCATATATAAATTTTTTCAAATTTTCGAAACCCATTTATCAAAAATTGTTATAAGGCCATAAAATAACAAAAAACAAATAACTTAAGGACGAGCACACCTAAAAAGTTAAACATTTTAATAATAGAAATATTAACAAAAACCAACAACCTCATGATCAAGTGAATTGCAGCGGCATAGCTGCGCTTGATTGTAGTTGGTCAGAGCTTTGCGGATATCCTTTATGTTAAAAAGTGACCCTTTTCGATAAATCCTTGAATGAATATTGTCCACCAAGCTTATTCCACAGGACACACTGCAGGTCAGAGTGAAAAATTAAAAACGTATTTTTACCATAGTTGGCCCATAGTTTCGTGAGTAGGTATATTGATTGCTTCGTGTGTTTTGATTTTTTGCTTTTGTCGCACGGTGATATAAAAAAACTGTATAATCTTTAGGCATTAAGAGTTTTCAAGAGAAGCTATACAAAACTAAAATTCGTCGTCTCCTCTTTATTTAATTAGCGTTGAGATCGGCGAGTCTGTTCGAGGCGAAGATGTATACATTGTGCAGTCTGGCTCTGGAGAAATTAACGACAACTTGATGGAACTTTTAATAATGATTAACGCATGTAAAATCGCATCAGCTTCAAGAGTGACTGCAGTTATTCCATGCTTTCCATACGCCCGCCAAGATAAGAAAGATAAGGTAATGTAGAGTTATATATTTGGCAGATTGCATGATTTTTGGGATGTATTGGGAAATATGCTATTAAAATGGGAATTCATTCGCCGCATACAAAGCAAAAGTGACGATTTAGCAGGACACAAATTATTAACTAATAAAATTTGAGAAATTAATACTATATGATGGTTTAAAACTATTTCAGCAAAAATAACAGCATTAATAACAATGTAAATTTACCGACCCCTACGAAAAATGTTTTTATCCACTTTGATATGAAGCATGATGTTTACATTTTAATATTTCTTCTTCTTATTTGGCGCTGTAACCGCCTAAGCGATTTTGGCCGAGTTCAGCAGATCACGCTAGCAGTTTCTTTTCTGTGACAACTGACGCCAATTGGAAATGCCAAGTGAAGCCACGTCATTCTCCACCTGGTCTTCCCATCTCAGAGGGGGCCTCCCTCTACCTCTGCTATCACCAGCGGTTTCCGAGTGGAATACTTTCAGAGCTGGAGCGTGGTGTCCATTCGAACAACATGGCCAAGCCAGCGGAGCCGCTGTATTTTAATTCGCTGCACTATGTCCATGTTGTAAAACTCATACAGCTCATCGTTCCATCGTCTGCGGTACTCGCCGTCGCACATAAGGACAAAGTGACTAATTACGACGACAAAAATAGAAAAACAAAAGTCTTTAAATCTTATCACACATACCTTTCTAATGCTATTTATAAACCAGTCCGCAATGTAACACACAAATTTTGACTTTCAACGCATCGCAGCAGCTTTAGCAGAAGCGCAAAGTTGGGTTTTTTATCGTTCGTCGAATTAAATAATTTTTTTTTTGAAGCGATGATAAAATATTTTCGCTTGTCATTTTATTCTTATTAACAACTAATAGTGAAAAGTGAGGCGTGAGGTATGTACTTTATTTTGCGATTTTTGTTAATAATATAGTTGTTTGTAAAAAGGGTATAATACCTATTTTATAAATTGTCTTTTTTTATTGAAAAAATTTTGAAATTTTTATATTAGTTAGAGTTATAAAAAAAGTTCCAACGAGTACAGCAATTTCACAGTTCGAAAACCCAACAAATTGCCAATGTAAAAATATCACGAACTCGTTCCCCCCTTTGCCCCTTCATTAAATAGGGCATGTTTTTCTTAAGTCGTTTATTGGGACAAATCGAGAATATAGGAGGACAAATATGTTTACTCCATATGTATTTGACAGATTTCAATGAAATTTGGTATCCAGAGGTTTTCGTTGTCAATGATTTCGAAATTGATATCAAACTTTCAAAATTCAAAATCGCGAATACAATATGGAGGAAGATATCTAAAAAAAATTTATAGATTTTTATGAGCTTGGCATCCAGAGATTTTCCTCGTCACTGGTTTCGAAATTGATATTAAATTTTCAAAAATCAAAATGACGGATCCAATATGGCGGACCACTTTTTTTTAATTATAGTTTGTTATGAAACTTGGTATTCAGAGATCCTCGTTATCCTTGATTACGAAATTGAAATTATATTTTCAAAATTCAAAATGAGTTCAAATGGTGCTAAAGGTAATGCATTGCGTTAAAAGTAAAACGCCTATTGTTCGGGACGCCATATTTGATCCGCCATTTTGAATTTGTGAAAATATAATATCAATTTCGAAATCAGTGACCACGAAGATCTCTAGATACCAAGCTTCATAACAATCGATAAATTTGTGAGGAGATCGTCCGCCATTTTGGATCCTCCATTTTCATATTTTAAAATTAAATATCAATTTCGAAATCAGTGACGTCGAAAAGCTCTTGATTCCAAGCTTCATAACAATCTATATATTTTTTAATAAATCGTCCGCCATATTGGATCCGCCATTTTTAATTTTGGAAATTTAATTTAATATTCCAATTCAGTGACGACAAAAATCCATAATTACCAAATTTCATTGAAATCTGCCAAATACATATGGAGTAAATACCAAGCTTCATAAAAATTTAAAAATTTTTGAAGAAATCGTCCGCCATATTGGATCCGCCATTTTTATTTTTTAAAATTAAATATCAATCTCGAAATTAGTGACGACGAAAAGCTCTACATTTTTTAATAAATCGTCCGCCATATTGAATCCGCCATTTCGAATTTCGGAAATTTAATTTAATATTCGAGTTCAGTGACGACGAAAATCCCTAATTACCAAATTTCATGGGAATCTAATAAATATGGAGTAAATACCAAGCTCCATAAAAATTTATACATTTTTGAAGAAATCGTCCGCCGTATTGGATCCGCCATTTTGATTTTTGAAAATTGAATATCAATTTCGAAATCAGTGACGACGAAAATCTCTGGACACCAAGTTTCATAACAATATAGACATTTTTTAAGAAATCGTCCGCCATATTGGATCCGCCATTGTGAATTTTTGAAATTAAATTAAATATTCGAAATCAGTGATAAAGAAAATCCCCAAAATACCAAATTTCATTGAAATCTGTCAATACATATGGATTAAACATTTTTGTTGTATTGTCGATTCGTCCCTATGTGCGTCGCCAACGCCGCCTCATCGGATGTTGTCATTCTCCATGCTTCTGCGCCATTTACCAGCGCGGGCATGATGAGTAACTAATAGAGTGTGGTTTTCGTACGTCGAGAGAGGACTTTACTCCTGAATTGCCTACTCAGTCCAAAGTAGCACTTGTTGCCAAGAGTGATTTTGTGTTGGATTCCCATGCTGACATTATTATAGGTGTTATTGCTGGTTCCCAACTAAACGAAATTCTCTACTTTCTCGAAATTATAACTGTCCACAGTCGGGGAGGTCTTTTCCAATTCTGACGGAGCTGGTGGTATTGCTCAACGTCATTTTACACAGCCGTATGAGTTTTGAGGGGATGCCAAATTCAGACATAGCGGCGTATAGGTAACTCCTTTTTGTGCTATCAGAAGCGACTTTAAAGTCGACAAATAGGTGGTGAGTGTCGATCCTTTTCTCGTGGGTCTTTTCCAAGATTTGATGTATTTTGAATACCTGGTCTATAGTGGATTTCCTAGGTCTAAAGCCACACTGATAAGGCCCAATCAGTTCATTGACGGTGGGCTTCAGTCTTTTACACAATACGCTCGATAAGACCTTCTAACCTATGCTAAGAAGGCTGATCCCGCGGTAGTTGGTGCGAATGGCGGGGTTGCTTTTCTTGTGGATTGGGCAGAGCACACTTTAATAAATTCCACACGTCGTTCATCTGACCATATTCTGCATAAGAGTTGATGCATGCACCTTATCAACTCCTCGCCACCACAGTTTAACTGGCAGGCTGTCATCTCCAGCAGCTTTGTTGTTTTTTCAGCCGCGCTATTGCTATTCGTACCTCGTCATAGTCAGGCGGAGGAACATCGACTCCGTCATCACCGACTGGGGGCTCGGGGGTTTTCTTCTCCACAACTTTCCGTGCTGCTACCATTCAGTAGGGTGGAAAAGTGTTCCCTCCATAATTGAAGTAGGTTCTGAACATCGGTAACTAGGTCGCCATTGTTGTTCTTACAGGAGAACGCCCTTGTCTAGAAACCTTCCGTAAGTCGCCTAACTCTCTGGAAAAATTTTCGGGCATTCTTTCTGTCAGCCAGCATTTCAAGCTCTTCGCACTCACGTATTTTGGCCTCTCCCTTCTTATTGCGGCAAATACGTCTCGCTTCCCTCTTCGGATCCATATAGCGGTCCCACACAGCGCGCGTTGCGCTCGATCGCCGCGTGGCCCTGTAGGCGGCATCTTTTTTCTCTGCAGCTTCCTGACACTTCTCATCGTCCAGTTGGGGAAAGAGAAAATTTGAGCGAATTGCATCTGTATGTGTGATCAGAATGAGAGAACAAGTATGTTTGAGTACTCACGAGTGTGAGTCCCCATGGCTGCCAACTTTCCTAAAAGCCCCAAAACTTGGGAAAAATCAAAAATATAAGTATTGTTGTATTTACCAAAACCAAACTAAAAAGTTACCCACTAATTACGATTTTAAATTTTTATAGAACTAATTGGAGTTTCACTTTAATTTAGCCGTAATATATATGTTATTTGAATTAGTGTATGTGTATATAAACATTTTCATATCGAGAATAAACTGCACTAAATTGGCATTGAAGAATGCGGGAAAAGTATTTAAATAGTAGGTATTATACATTTCTCGAATGTTTTTGTGGATCGTCGGCTCAGCTAACATGAAAAAATGTGCATGTGTGCTCATATAGAGCCCTAACCGCCAAAAGGGCGTAAGCGACAACCTGTTCGATTTTCTGTTTTTGACGGAAATCGATTACCTACCACCATACGCACCAGCTGTCAAAAATTTCAAAGTCGTACGAAATACCGTTACAAAGTTATAGCGAAAGCAATTTTGGCTTAACTGCTTAATTGTATTCTGTTTACATTTTTTTGTGCCCGCAGTGTCGGTTAAGCCTTTTCTCCGTGAACAATTTTTCATTGCAGAGGGGCATTGTTACATTTTTGTGTGAAAGTTTTGAAGTGCCTCTATTTTACAAGCTTTTAGTTTACTTGCTCTGTATGTTTTTTAACTGACTTCCAAAAAAAGGAGGAGGTTATCAGCTCGTCGGAATATATATATATATATATATATATTGTTTTTTTTTTATGTATGTTACCGCATAACTTTGGACCGCGTCAACCGATTTCTATAATTCTTTTTCTTCGGAAAGGTAGTGTCTCAAAGGTGGTCCCGTACTAACCTGGTTTAGATCCGATAAGTGGATCATGGTATATATATATATGTTTTAAGTGGGTTTTTTTGCTAAAAATTACTTGTTTTTATACATACAAGGAGAACGCATCGAAAGCCTAACCCCCGTAGAGTGGAACTTCAATCCGAACTAAAACTCCTTGCCTTGCTCTGTACGTATGTATGTATGTTTCTTAGGGGCAAATATTGCAATCAATTTTTGATCAACTTTTCAATGACCCATAGACTTGAAACTTCACAGTTAGCTCAGAACCCGATGACAATGCAATACG